TTCCAAAATGTTGGAAGAGGTGTGTTCGAAGTACCTGCACGGTGAGCTGTGCAGTGGCATTCCTTAAGGGAAAAAGCCAACAAAACTTGGAGAAGGCATCCACACAAACAAGTAGGAACTTATTTCCTGACTTGCTACGCGGGAGAGGCCCTACATAGTCAATGAAAACCTTCTCCAAAGGTCTTTCCGCCACCTCAGATGACAACAAACCAAACTTAGAGTTTTGAGCGGGCTTGCTCAGTGAGCACGTTTGACAAGAACGCACCCTAGCAGCAAGGTCCCGATCCATACCCTTCCAGATGAACATTTCCCTAACCTTCGCAATGGTCTTGTGGATACCTAGATGCCACCCACAGGAGAAGAATGAAAATACTCAAAGACCATAGGGATTAGAAGACTAGGCAGCACAACTTTAGGTTTACCTCGCTGCCGAGCGCGACAGCAAAGGGCACCCTGGGACAGAAAATATGGGGGGTGGGCTCCCCCATTTTGAAGCTCACCAATGATCTTTGCCAGCTCAGGATCCTTCAGCTGATGGGGAATGAAATCAGAGAAAAGGCGAGTGGAAACTCCAAGAGCACGGCACAACCCGGTTGCTCTTGGTCAGAAGGAGGATCGTCGGGTGAATGGTACATCCTAGATAGTGTGTCCGCAATCACATTCTGAGTGCCTCGAACGTGTTGCACTTGGAACTTAAGGGACGATATTTGGACAACCCAACGACCAATTTTCCCAAGCTGGCGTGGATGTGCAAGAAGCCACGAGAGTGCCTGGTTGTCGGTTTCCAATAAAAACTCCTTGTGCTCCAAAAAGCGTCTGAATTTATTGACTCCAAACACGACAGCCAAACACTCGAGTTCATACACCGAAGAGCTTTTCTTTTTGCAGGGACTCAAAGTGCGTGAGGCGTACGCAATTGGCTGCCTAACACCATCCACCTCTTGTGACAACACAGCCGCAATTGCGACGGAGGAAGCATCTGTTTGCAAGACAAAGTTTTGATTGAAATCCGGCATCGCCAAAACAGGGGGCTGCATGATAGCCTCCTTGAGAAGGTCAAAAGACGTCTGCTGCGCTTCACCCCAGACAAACTTGGCGCCCTTCTTCCGAAGCTCATTGAGAGGAGCCGCCAATTCAGCAACATTGGGTATGAAGCGTCGGTAAAAACCTACCATGCCGATGAACCTAGCAATACCCTTGACATCTCTGGGAGGAGGAAACTCCCTGATAGCCTGGGTTCTAGCGGGGTCGATGCAGACGCCTCTATGAGAGATAAGATGACCAAGGAACGAAATTTCCGGCTTTGCAAAACTAACCTTGTCAGGATTCACGGTAAGGCCAGCCCTATTCAATCTACTCATGACTTCTTCAAGATGAATCAGGTGATCTTCGAAGCTCTCACTGTACACCAAGAGATCGTCGAGGTAATTGAACACAAACTTGAACTTGACATCATGAAAGATGGAATCAAGGAGTCTGGTGAGAGTCTGGGCCCCCACAGCAAGACCCATCGGAACTCTTGTGAACTGATACAAATTCCACGGAACGCAGAAAGCAGTGAGAGGTCGAGACTCAGGTTTCAAAGGAATCTGATGATAGGCCTGATTCAGATCAAAAACAGAAAAATACTTGGCCTTACCGAACCAATCAAACGCAGAATGCAAATCGGGGAGAGGCACAGAGTCGATTTCAATTTGCGCATTCAATTTGCGATAGTCCAAAACCATTCGGGACTTGCCATTGGGTTTTGGGACGAGAAAAGCTGGACTAGCGTAGCTCGAACGGGAAGGTTCAATGACACCATTTTCCAGAAGTTCGTCAATGATTTTTCTGAGAGTTTCCATTTTGGGTGGAGCTAATTTGTATGGGTGAGAGCGAACGGGACGGGTATCTGTTAGACGAATCTCGTACTCTAACAGGTTAGTGACTCCAAGCTTTGGCGTCAGCACATCTGGGAAACGAGAACACAAGGTTCTGATGGCTTCAGCCTCGCAAGTAGTCAGATGCCCTAACGGATCAATTGTTGGCTTGCTGGGTATCTCAGGCTCGACTACCGCAGCACCAACACCAATTTCATCAGCAAAAGATATTAATACCCGTCTCGCAAATCGGAAAAAACACTGACCTCTGCCTAAATCCAAAATTAGGCCAGTGTGCTTGATAAAATCCGCTCCCAAAATGACAGGGAAACAAAGGTCCTTAGCCACCCAAAAACTCCAAACCCAAGAAAAATGTTCAATTTTGAACTTGAAACGGGCTTCATAGATGATGGGAAGGGGTGAATTTGACGCAGTCCAGCAGATAGGGGTTTTTCGCTCAACTTGCTTGATAAGCCCAGACGATTCAAGTTTTTCAAAAAGGGACAAGGAAATGAGGCAACGGGCTGACCCAGAATCCACTAGGGCCTTCTGCACCGTGGAACCTATGAAGATGTTGAGACGTGGGCAAGTTGAGCGCGCCGCTTTCACGCCCATGGAAGCAAGGCCCGCAATCCCCCGCAGCAGAGGCTCGGTCACAGGCACAACACTCCCAGAAGGGGAGGCAACAGAAACATTAACTGACTTTAACTTAGACTTTGACTTACTTGAAAAAACATTCAAATTATTGCCCTTTACATTATCACCAACAACCTCACAGGAAGGATTGGGCAATTTTTCCTCCTGTGAGCAAACTAGTTTTTTGGACCACGTCCAAAATTTCCACCTTGACGGCAATGCCGCCGAATGTGACCTGGTTGCCCACAACCAAAACAAACAACAGGTTGCCTCTGCCACTGCGGCGGTTCAGGACCCAACACTCCCACGGGTGCTACGACAGCATGATGACCAGCTAGGGGAAGATGCCCCGCCGCTTGGTCTCTCTGAAAATCAGCGTCCTGGACAGATCTCGAAAGGATGGAGAGTCTGTCCAGATCCGCAAAAGATGCAGGTCGTGGCGCAAAAACCAGACGGGAGCGTTCCTCAGGCTTCAACCCCTGAAGCACAATGTCAATGAGCTCAAGCTCACTGATCCCCAAACGCAAGACCCTTTCCACCGTGCGAATGTCCCCCACGTACTGGCTGAGAGACTCGGCTGGCTGCTGAGGACGAAAAACTCTCTCAACTTTCAGCTTCTCCATGACCCGACGGGGCATGAAAAGCTCCAAAACTTCTTTATGAAAAACATCAAAGGTGACGCCTCTGCGCAAACAATCAAGCAATCTGTCCCCCAACGGTTTCAGACAGTATGGAGCAATAAGTTCCATCAAAGTTGCGTCTGACATGCCAGGGTATTCACGCATGCGCAAAACACTCTCCAGAAAAAAACAAAGACCATTCACATCTAACCCGTCCACCGGCCGGAAACCACTCAGGACAGAGGCAAGGGGATGGGGAAGTTTGCCAAAGGAGTTAGAGATGGAAGGGGAACTATGAACTTGAGAAGGAAAGGGAGATGGGGACTGGACATTCAGCGTAGCCGCAGCCAAGGTGGACGTGTGAGAGGGGGACGGTGTGACATTTGCATTTGACATTTGAACATTTGCAGGCAACTGGAGCAGTGTACTTGGCGTAGGCGGAGCCTGGGGGGTACCCACTGGAGCCACAACTTCAACAACAGACTTTGGCACTTCGTTTGAAATTTCCAAAGAACGGTTGTCTTCAAAAATTTCGACTTT